AGCTGGTTCTGTATGTGTTGATGTGATCAGAGACTTGGCCAATTTAGCAGTCCCCAGGAGTTATGCAGCAATGGCTTCCTAATGGCTTAAGGTGTGCAGTGTGGAGAAACACGGGACAGATTCTCAGAATATAAGATTCTTGTTCCACTTTAGTTTCATGCCAGGATAGAAGGGCCATGCTGCTATCAGCAGCCTCACTAGACTTGCCTTGTCCCCTACATCAGATATGGCAGCCCCTGTGGTAAGGCAATCTTGGTGCAAGGCAGCATCGTTGTGTGGGAGCTTTCCTTGTACTGCGCAGGAGGTCCAGGCCACTCAGGGGCCACAGCTCTGTCAATTCCCCTTTCTTTGGTGACAATGTGTTTTTCTCCTTAATTTCACAGCCAGGTTGTATTTAAAGTAGTGTATGCACATGATGGTGGAAGAATAAGGCTAAAGAGTATTTGATGACTTTTCTAGACTTCTTGGAATATTTGATTTGAATAGAGTCTGTCTGCTTAGTCTCTACAGCTGTACAGCCTGGGGATAGGGTATCTCACCAGGCTGCTCTGAGTGAGAATCATATTCATGGTGAACAAGTCGGGAGTTCTGACAAAGATGGTAGGACCATTAGATGCAAGGGGAATGCTTTAGCCATCATCCTAAATCTGCAGTTACTTGGTGGGGGCAAGGAGTGCCTTTCAATTCAGCCTCCTTCCCAGAAACCTGAGTGTTTGTGATGTTCAAAATCAAAAAGTAAGGGGAGGCCTCTCTTGCCAGGCACTGACTGTACCAAAGACTATGGGAGAAGTTTTGGACCAATAATAGAAAGCAGGAAACAGCAGAAACTTCTCAAGACATCCTGCTCTATGTCCCATCTTGTACCAGGAGAGTGAGAAAAGCAGTGGACTGTGCACTGGAGCTGTTTTGCCAGGGGAAGCAGTACAAACACATTTTCTTTTTGTCTGGCAGCAGGAGTGAGCTGCACACAAGGTGTACATAGAACAGGGAAAATCCCCAAAATGAAGCAAGTTAATTTCAGCACAAGTTGCACCAATCTTGTCATGAGGGACCATAAGGGAGAAGGAGAATGGCTAAGCAAGGTCATGAAAAGTGATCAGATTTTCTGTGAGTGTATATACACAAGTGCATGAATACTTTGACAAAAGCTAGTGGAGGATTGTTGAGAGGCCAATGCGGCTAAGTTCCTGCTTTGTTACATAGATAAATTGCCAAAGGAAACATTATCCAAACAGTTCTACTTCAAAGGCAAAACGACAAGCATTGGGGAACTTGCGGTACTTTCAATCTGGCCAATAACCAAGTGTAAAGTGTAAAATATACATGTTTAGGAAGTAGGACACATGCCGTTCAAGACAGGCCTTTCCCATGCTCTCAGACCAGTGCAGCTTCATTTGATGTGCTAATGCATGATGTGTGATCTGTCCTGGCAATGTGCTGCCTGCCAGCAGCACAAACATTTCACAAGCACCCTTTTGGGTTACTTCAGCCTGCACAGACTCCTTGGCAAACTCTGCAGCTGCAGCTTTTCTTACAGTCTATTGCTGTAGTGGTTGCACAATCTAGATTTATTTAGCAGGTCACATCAAGAGCCTCCAAGCACCTAAAAACACCTTGAAAGCATCCTGGAATTGCAGGGTTTGATGTAATGCACTAGGATTAAATGACAATGCAGGGAATAGTCACAGTAATGCATTGGGAAACATATCAGTAATGCAGACTTCATTGACCCTTAAGGCAGATTGTCCTAGCAGATGTCCCAACCTCCCTGGGCATTGGAGGCTTCATGGTATTACAGCTGATGGCAAAGGCCCTCCATAATGTGTTTATAAATGTCACCTGAAATTGGGTGAAAAAATGTTCCCTGGAGTGCTTCCTGACACTGCAGGCACAGCCAAAAATGTAGATGCTGTGCACAGTACAGGACAGTCTCTGCTATTTGATGAAACTCATCATATAAACCCATGAAAGGTAACATTGCAAATGCTCACCATAGAGAAGCAGTGGATTGTAGGTGCAGGCCCTCTTTTCAGTACAGGTTTGAGTAGATTTAAATTTGTGATATCAGCAAAAAATAGTTGTGGTCTTTATGGTGCAACTGAGTTCTAGAGTACCTGTGCTGGGGGATGAGGTTGGCTTTTAGTGAGGGTTCAGGATGTAAACTCAGCTGTTGGAGGTTTCAGAATCAGCCATTCCTATGAACCAGGGGTGTGCAGATGTGCTTTTTCTTCCCCTCTAACAGTAAGCTAGGGGGATAAGGGACATTTTGTAACAGCTCTGGTGACTTACCCCACTTGTACCAAGAGGCAAGTCACCCTTGTGCCTCTACTCACTGTCTTTGGGCCAGTCTCAGTCCTGTATGTTTGTGCAGCCTGTAGGCCTGAGATAACCAACCACTTAGCACTGGGTGCTACCCAGTGTAGCAGCTGTGGCTACACACACACTTAACCTGCTCTGCACCACTGAAATGACTGACTTGTGCTGCAGCCAGCTGTAATCATCTGTTACTTGTGTTAACCTTGAATTCCACCGTGTCAGTTCCGGTCCTCTGAGAAAAATTAGGAAAGTGCTTACTGAAACCAGCATCCCAGACCTCCACATTGAGCGGTGTGGAAGAGGAAAGTGGGACCCCAAGCCTTAGTAGCCATGCTTGTCACATGAAATTATACCACTACTCTCACATTAGCCTAATCTATCCTTATAAATGGCCCAACTTCATGCTAAAGTCCCTCACTTTGCTGCAGAAATTCCTGAGCTTTCTGGCAGAGCCACACATAGCTCCCTGATACCTGTGCACTGTCAGAGGACACACAAGATACAAAAAGAATTAATTGTTTAATGAGAACAAGGAAGAAAGATGTGTTTTATGCAGCTGTAGTCTAATGTGCTGAGAGAAGTCTGTCCGAATGGGTTGGGAATGCTGATGGCACCTAATAGCCACAGAGGCTTTTCCTGCTTCCTGATAGATGGAGTACTGTGAGTATCAGTCATTGTGGTATGAAGTTGTTATGAGAAAAATAACTTCCTGTGTTGATGGACTTAGCATGCAGTAAATGGAGACGTATGGATGCAAACGTAAGGTGGTGGTAAATGCAGCTCTCTAGAGCTCTAGGCGTGACCACGCAGAGTCATAAGTAAATAGTACAATATATTATTTTTCTTTGACTTCCTCTGTAGCTCAACTGGTGCCCTGAATTCAGTCTTATTAGGGTTCTCTTTCCTTCAGGACAGAACTGAGAAATAAGAGAGCACTCCGACACACTGTGCCTCTGCATATGCAAGGCAAACTTTTTTATCCTGGCCTCTATGGGGAGAAAGAGCAAGAGCATTCTCTGTAACAGGGCACTAATAAATGTGTGAATGCTATGCAAGTAGTATCAATATCCATTGCTTTGTCTGAAGGCCACAGAACTGAAATTCTTTTTGCCTTGCTTCACATCCTTTTCTCAGAAGAAAAGCACAATTATTTCCAAACTCTCCCTTTACTACACCTGTATGCACTTCTACTGATACATTCACTGTCACTGTCTGGGGCTCTAGAGTGCTTATTTACCATGGACTTAGCTCACTCTATTAGATGACAGCACTCCTTGTTTTTAGTGGGTTCCATATCAACCTTCCTTCCTTCATTTTGCTTTCAGAAAAGCACTCCATTGCTTGAGCCTGTGTGACTGCTTGGAGTGATGAGACAGGTTGCAAGCGGGTCAGAGAGATGGGGAATATGGAAAGTGCTAATTGTCCATTCACAGTCCCATGACAGAGTAGTCCATGCCACTAGTTAAATAGAAGTGATACTCTGCTTAATATATACCTGATATCCCAGACTTTCAAGAACAGTACTCTTTGAGAATACAATTTCCCTTCCATTATTGAGTTTTATTCCCTTTTATCCCATCTATTCTAGTCAGGTTACTTTATTGTGATTGCCTGTAGAGTGTTGATTAAACCAACAGCATTATTCTGTGACACTGAGGTATGACCATTGCTTGCCATACAATGAAGTAGCTTGGCTGTATTAACTGAGTAGTTACTTTACCTAAATAGGCACCATTTCAAAAGAGGAATTCAGTTCCTGGCAAAGAAAGTAACCCTGGAATAAAGGGATTTCTTGAGGGAGACTTGTATAGTACCTGGCCATGTGAATTTTACTGGCAGTCAGATAACATTCAGTCTGTCCTTTTTCCATTTTAGCATTTTGAAATTAAAGACAAGTCAAATATCACTCCATAAAAGATCTGAGTGTTAATTTAATCATCTCTGTGACTCATCGGAAAGAAAAGGCATCAAGATTTTTTTAAACATTATCCAAAACTCAAGCTGTGATGCAGCAGTTTGCAAGGGTGTCCCACTGGTTTTGATGATTTCAGACCTTCCCCAATAGCTAAACTTTATGACCATGAGGTTGAGGATGAACTTTGACTATGACCTAGATCTGCAATTCACAAGTGTTTTTCATACAGCTGCAATAATATTCCAGAAAAATGTAATTGGCCTTTTACTTCATTCACTTTTGCAAATGAAAATAAAGCTACTGTGAGAGCAGATCTTTTGCTAAGAAAATATTTTTTTTTAATATTTTTATAGCTCTGTCAACAATAAAGGAGTCTCACAGTCTAAAGTCTTTCTCTAAACCTTTTTAATGGAAAAAACTTCATAGAAAATATCCTTTTACTTTTTTAATAACATATAACTATATACATGATTAAAAACTGTAACAAAAAGCTGCAGGGACTGGAAAAATGTTTTGTTGGATCCATGCAGATGGTACATCTAAAAAAGGATTTCACAAATCCATGTACATCAAATGGAGCTGCAGTGACAGGGTTGAAAAAAATGGCAACTCTATATTATTTACCTGAATGTATTGGGAATAAAGCACAGACATACAAAATACACAAAAGAATACAAAAGAGTACACGGTGTAAATGCTGTTAGCACAGGAAGTTTCTTTTTTTTTTAGGTAAGTAGGAGAAAAGAAGTAAAATCTCCTTTTTCACATTTTATATTGCAGTTTAAAAGATAACTAATCTCTTACTTGCTGTATTTTGTTTTTCTTCATTCTGACATACACTACAGTAGAAGTATATGGCACTTGCATTTAACAACTCAGGAATATTTGATTTATCTCCATGCCTGTGAATGTCCTGTCATTTCTGAATAACAACATGTATATATATTGCTTTAAAAACACATACACAGTTTGACATGAGTTACAAAATATTGAGGGCCACCACACTACAAAGTGCTGGAAACTCTTGTCCTGATCCAGCAGTTTGTTGAAGGACACATACAACTTCAAATCTAAGAGGAATTCCTCAGAGAGTAAAGGAAGTTAAGAACATGCAGAAATTATTTGCTGATCAGGTCTGGAGTTTTCAACAGTTCATAGTATAGACTCTGCAGCTAGGAAAACTTACACCTGAGGCCATAATTCTGTCCTTACACCCCAGGTAATGTAGCTACATGGTGTAGATGATTTACTGTACCTTTAAAATAGATTTTCTTAATTCTGAGTTAAAACATAAAATGAAACCTAAAAAAAAAAGTTTGGGGATTTGTCGAGCTCTGCAGCTGAAAGGAAGAGAGAGATAGTATTTAGTGTGTCAGTTCCAAGCTGGAAGAGATTCAGTAGGCAGCAGGTAATAATGTGACAGGCTTTAAACACCTCACTTCTAGAAGAACTTGCTCATATATTTGTCCTGGCCCAAAGCTACCCCAAACATAACTGAAAACTAAGTACCAGCCAGTAACTTCACCTGAGGCTCAGAGGCATGGTGAGGATGGCAAGCTGTCATTCAGTAAAAAGTAAAGTCAAGCTTAGTTCTTGCCAGGTGGGCTCTGGCTGGGTCCTTCCTGCTGTAACAAGTACTTAATGATTCCCAGTGTAATCACAGGCAGTTTAATAGCAGACAAATAAATGGAGCCTGTGTGTGCATATACTTATTTAGAAAAAGAAAAAAGGTGAAAGCAACAACAGTAACAACAACAACAACAAAACTAGACAAGCAGTGAAAGCTGAAATACTCTGTGAAGCCTTGGGATCTGTTCCTGTTCTCGTTAACACCCTCCCACCCTGTCTGGCCTTGCTCTTTTGGCAGGCAGGTAAAACTGTTCAGGTTCCTGTGAGTGAAGGACTTTCTGCTTTTAGCAAGACTTAAAGTAATTATGCAAATAAGCTTTGACATCCAAATCACTGTGAGCCATGAAAGCTAAATGTCATTGATAAGTATTTGGCTTTCATTGTCCATATAGTCATTTGATTCCCTCCCAGTTTGACCCTTTTATGTGAGCATGCTAATTGGAAAGTTGCCAGTATACCAGGTTTGGGGTCAGTACTGTTCCGAGTCCTTTTTTTTTTAAAAGAACTTCAATGATACTTGTTTGTGTTGTTCATTGCTAGCATTTTGGGTAAAATCTGGCCTGTAGAGCCCTGATTGAAGCTACAATGTCAGTACAAGGCAGGTCTGAGAAGGCAACCTGAAAGCAGTAAGACTTATTTTGTTTATTTAAAGAAGAGATAAATGTGTGTGTGCATGCATTTGCATTTAACAGTTTTATAGCTAGAACCATTACTAAATGATGCCCAATAGCAATTTTATCTCTTGTTATGATTTGTTTTATAAAGATGTAACGATTCTCAGGAGAGTTTTATGAAAACATGCAGAGCTGATTTGCATTACATACGCAGTTATGTGCCCAGTATATATGTTGCAACTTAATTTCTTAAATATATATTGTGTAACACTTTTATTCCTGAGTGCTGGTCTCCATAAGGAATAGAGAAGGTGGCATCATGTGCTCTTCTGCACAACATGGTCCTTCGTCATTTTAGGAATTCTTCTGAGGGATCTTTATTGTCACAGTTTTAACTTCAGAATATTCTCTCAATCCACATTCACCCCTAAAAAACAAATTGCAGCATCAGCTTGCACCAGACATTGTTTATTGAGCAAAAACCTGCAAATGATTTCTTGATTGAGGTAAGATATAAGCTAAAATTCCAGTTCAGGTGAGGTCAAAAGAATGATGGATGGCTCCAGCATTTGATAGGGAGATACAGAACATTACACCTGACACAGGACTTTGAGGGGTACCTGTTCTGCTTTGGATAAATTGTGCTTAAGAAATGTGTTGTCTGAATGCTTTTAAGACTTTGTTGTAGTCAGCTGTGGCAAGTCTGCTGAGGTTTAGAGTGGACATTGCATGGCTTCTTGGGACTTATCCCTGTCTTCACTGAAGCACAGGTATTTGCATTTTTGCTGTGCTTATTTTGAGTAACAGAAAAGTCTCTTTAAGTCATTAGTTAAGTTCTAATGTGTCTGTCAGGTGCTGTGTATGCAAAGCAAACACTGTCCCCACCTCAAAACAGGTACAGTCTAAGTCTGGAAGTAGAGTCTCTTCCACATGAACTCATAGGAAGATTCTTTTTGGCACGAGGTCTTACAGACATTTGTTTCTTGGTTGAATTCTTATCCCCACCCCTAAATCACACAAAATACTGTACCATTACTTCTATGAAAATCTAGAACATGCTGACATGCATATGTTGTTAGCAAGTTTACTATTTGACAGTGCCTTCCCTCTGGATTCTACTGTGCAGGACTTTAGCTATTTATCTGACTTAGCTGAGTCACAGAACCATTCCCTTACCGGTCAGTGGAAGCTGTCACTTCCAGGAGCTGTGTGGGGCCCAGTAACTAATGCTAGTAGATTTTTGTGTGAAAGTTTCTACTGGACTCAGCAGGGCCGTGCATAGCTCCACACACCTGTTGGACACATTTTTGCAAGCCAATAGGTAACCTAGTCAGCAGTGTGGCCAGTGCCTTCATGTATGTTCCAACTGCCAGTTGCTTTCTTATCTTAGAGACATTTATTGTCTGTTTCTTCAGCCCAAGGCTTCAGGGCGTTATGTGTTTGTTCTCTGCCCAAAGGTTTGGAAGTGGACAAGAGTGATGAATTCCAAGGCAAGCATTTTTCCAAAGTTAAAGCAGTGCACTTGTTGAATAGGAAGATGTTATGCCAGATGTTCAGAGCAGAAGAATCAGTGTGTGTTCAATTAAAGAGCTCACTTGTCCCCACAGCCTAATACAGGGAGCAATGGCATCCTCTTCTATGGCCACTTTGGGTCTTGGATTGCAGTTTGGGATCAGGATGAGAACAAGGGTTGTGTCTATGAGGAAGGAGCCCACGGATCAAGTTTGCATGGTGCTATCCCTTGGTTGTGTGGGTGTGAGGGAAGGGGAACAAACTGCTTTTCAAAAAGAAATATTACATACTCTCCTCCCTCCCTCAGTCCAAGAGAAAAAAAGGATAAGGAAAAGAATTAAAAGAATTAGAACTCCAATCCATTCTCCTGCTTGCACGTCTTTTTCAAAATGTAACTGTGCACTACTGTATCTCAGAGCTCTCCAGACAATAATAATTCCTATAACATTAAAGGATAGTTCTGAAGTAGAATGGCACTTCCTTCCCTTGAAGACATTTGGACAGAGACCAGAATTTTGGAGAACTCTAATATAAAACGGCCACATGTGGCTATCTGGGATGAGTCACCCAATTTTTAGTTACAGGAATTAAATTTTATATTGCCCAGGTAGTGATAAAAAACTTCAAAGAAGCCTGAATGTAAAACCCCCATCTTTTAGACTTCTTCAAGAATACAAGAATATTTTAAGTAGTTTCTACAAGCAGAAATCAGTTGTAATGTGTACATGAGTTCTGGTCCTCTACTGGTATGTACATACCCTGCTATGTTTTGTGGAAGTGTAAAATGAGTAAACAGATATCAACTTTCTGTGTTTGTTTTTTGCCCATGTGTGATAAAAACCTGTGAATTTAAATGCAGGACCAAAACAAGTCCCAGATAGTAGAGTGCTAGCACAGGCAGCACAGTGGCACAGTTATGATCTGGCTGTAACATAGTATTAGCTTAGCAATGACAAATTTGTGCTTGGACACTTTCTCTCTTAGTTTTTTTCTTTAATAGTCTGGCTTGCCATTATTTATGCTGTACAATGTATCCCTTAAAAACAGGGATTTAAGAAACTGTGGCATTTGAATAAAAAGTATGCAGATACTAATGCAGGGTGGAGGAGGTGAATTAGAAGGTGATATCTGATCAAAGAGGTTCTGAAAGGAGTAGAATAATTACTCACAAGTAGGTTTTCAGGCACCTTTGTGAGATGGAGATTATTGCCATTCCAAGCATTTATTCTTTATGATTAATACTTTGAAAGCTCTAGATGGGAATCAGGAGTGCAAGTACCACAGACTGTTCATGGGAGCTGGGGTGCTGCCTGGTTTCCCCCTTTCAAAACTCTGCAGCATCAAGACATGAATATTTTGCTTGCAGAGCTAACCTCCCTGGAGTCAGTGGGGTCACTCCTGGGTGTCAAGTTACTCATGTGCTCTATCGAGCTTAGTAGTTTTAGAATATTTTCACAATGATAAGAGTTAGATGAGCTGACATATTTATGACAGTGTGAGATCAGCTCATAGCTGATGAATGTGGAGAATAGTATGAATGTGTTATTCAAAGTACTCCCTAACGAGGGAAAATACTTCAGACTACACAGAGCTTATTTTATAGATCAAGTTGTATACTTGAACATATTTAAAGTTTTAAAGGGTTTGACCTTACTTTAGTTTTACTGCTGAGTTTGCCATAAGCTATTTTGAAAACTTAGGTGAGACATATCTGGCATACATGCCTCCTGCACAGAAATTAATTGAATCCTTTGCATGTAACCAATCTGGGGCTGATGCAATTGCTAAACTTCCTTGTGATTGTAATGAGAATGAAAAACTGGTAAGACTTTAAATTAGGTACATGGGAGAGTATTTGAGTGTGGAGCTCCATTTCAAAACATTTGGCACTTAGTTCTAAATGGAGTAAGAAAGACAGAAGGCTTTGTAATGGAAAGTGATTTTTTGAAAGGGATGTAAACACATTTGTCTCCTTCTCTAGGCCTGACTTCACTTAACAATGTTTATAAATCTGGAAGCAATAGATAACTTTTTAATAAAATTCATATGCATCTATATTAATAAATATAGTAAAAACTGAAGAAAGGAAAGAAAATGACAAGAGAGGCAAAATATATGGCAAAACAACTCTGAAACGAGTACACCAAACCAGTCAACAAGCACTCAGCAATACTGAAAAGAGTCTTTCTGAAAAAGTGATGGTTAATATGGCTAAAAAATATTTCAGAAAAAACAGGTTACAAGTTCAGAAAAATACTCAGAAATTTTCAGTTCTCTTCAGAATAAGGAGAGTTCCAGTAAGTTAGATTGCTGTGTAAAAAGAAAAAGAAAATAAAAATAGGGAAAAAAAAGCTTACCATGCACATCAATTGCATTTAGAACTGGCAATGATTAAAAGTCACCTTATATTATGCCCTGATCCTCAGGTTGGGATATTTCCTGATCTTAATTTGCATGGAAGAATTCACTAATGGTTATTAAGTTGTAGAGTTGAAAACAGCAGTGTGTAATACTTACATCTCTCTCCCATTGCCAGACATTTTGAATCCTCCAAAAGGACTTTGGGCATTTAAGGCATTGTAGCAGTTTATCCTGTAACAGGAAGAAGCATTAAGTCCAGCTGCACTGACAGAGAGACCTTTGGATAAATTAGGGAGAGGCTGAAACTAAGCTAAGGACAGTGTATACCTTTTAGTAATAACAAATGTGTTTCATGTTGAAAAGAAATGAGGGATTTATGCCATAAAAACAGCTTTTTGCTCCTTAGTCATAAGGAGAATGGGATTTGGCCTGTGAGATCTGGACCCTATACTTGTACATAGCTTCAGTAATGAACTGTTAATATAACCTATTCCTCAGGGCTAGAGAGAAGAGGTGTCCCCTCAGTTTCTTAATGTAGAGAGTACATGATTCTTTGTGCCTTTAGCAGAAACCTCACAGGATTCCTCTGCTCCACAGTAAGGATTGTTTCTTACTGTTTCTTTTCAGTAATGCATTCAGTGACTGCCATGCTCATGGAAAACAAGGTGCTTTCCAAGAGCATTGCCCAGCAGTGAGCAGTCACAACATCTCCCTGCAGTCTTGGCTAGTGATTCACCACTAGGATGGTCTAGATAAATATTTTCAACAAAGGTTGGAAAACTGAGGAGACATGATGTTAGTGGGTCAAATTCTGTTTTCAAGAGCAGGAGTGTGATAACTTCCACTTACCAGACTGTCCCAGCCTGCATTGCTGAAGAGACTGTCAGGGCCTTGTTTATGTCATTTGTAAAGACAGCAGCTACCAGCCCAAAGTCAGAATTGTTGGCTCTCTCTATAACTTCATCCATGGTTTTAAATCTCAGGATTTCTTGAACGGGCCCAAAAATCTGCAACAAAGGTTAAGCATCAATTAATAAACCAGCCCACTCAGAGCCATTTAATTCCTGTTTTATTCTGCTTTTAAAATTTTCTTCTCTCTCCTATTGTACTTTTTGAAACTTCCCACAGTAGCATTTAATAGTGATAATATCTGTCTGTAAAACTGCATGAACTTCCCCAAGCAAGTGCCTCAGCAGAACTCATCCATTCTATCCTTAAGGTCTGAGACCCTACAACCAATGACAAAAATTGACTTCCTCACCCAACTGATGTTGTCAGCTGCTGTGTGCATAAGGAGTTCTGAAAAGATGTTATTATCTTTTTCTTTAAATATAGTGATAATTTTCACTCTGTAGCTTTTGTCTCAGGAATTAAACAACAGGGAAAAAAGTGATGTTTAGGACATTCTAAAATGATCTTGCCCGTGTGTGTGAGTGAATACCTCCTCCTTGGCAATCCGCATGTCATCTGTCACGTTGGAAAACACTGTAGGTTCAATGAAGAAGCCCTTTCTTCCCAGCCCTTTACCCCCACATTCAAGTTTTGCTCCTTCAGTAATGCCACTTTGAATCAGCTCCAAGATCTTGTTGTATTGTTTCTTATCAATCTGAAAGAGAGAAGAAGTTGACTTGCAGAGCTGCACTTAATGATTGAGCCAAAATAGGTTTGTTTAGGCAAGTCATGTCCCAGTAAGTAGCCTCATGCTTATATTCACTATTCTTTGAGCTGGAGATGCCAAAGATCTACAAGTAGCTGCTGACTGTAACAATGTAGTTTATAAGCACAAAAATAGCATCTAATTAATTTTTGTTCCAGGTTAACTTCCTGCAAATGGTGTAAGTCCCACTGGTTATCCTGTGGCAGTAACATTTTCTAAAGACTTATTTCTAAATCTGCCCATCTTTTTGCTCTGAATTTCTGGGTCTACAGGCACAGGTATGTTTGTAGACAGTTCCTGAAAGTAAGTGCCCACAGAGACTTTTGAGAGCTTCTCACAGTTTACAGCTGTATCTTGGAGGCTGAAGATCTAAATCTTGCTTTTTAAACTGAGAGACAGACATTGATATTTAAGATGAGATTGTTTTTTATTTTACAAGAAAACACCTCAGTGTTGCACAAATTATCTACCCTTTCGAATTTTATCTTAAAAACATTTATCATGTCAGCTACCCTGAACTATGAGTGTGTGTGCACTGACTGACCTCTCTCTTAGTAGAGTTTAAACACTCCCAGGCACCTCCTGGGCTACACAGCCAAAGCACTAATCCTTTACCTGTGGACCTTGTTCTGTAGTCGGGTCAAAGGGACTCCCCACAACTCTCCTCTTTGCACGTTCTACACTTCTTCTAACAAACTCTTCATAGATTGATTCTTCCACATAAATCCGTGAGCCTGCAGTGCAGCATTGACCTTGATTGAAGAACACCCCTTGGTGAGCTTGTTCCACAGCATAGTCCACTAGAAAACCAAGACAGCACATGCTGCACTGAAACACCACAGATAAATATGCCTTTGCACTAGTGTCATGTGTATTATATAGAACCACATGCCCAAAACTTCACAAGTAGGATTTAGTTAAAAAAACCCCACAAACAAAATCAAAACATACTATAGTTGTGCCAGGTCATAAATGAGGATGATTCATTTTGTGTCATAATTCCTGTGAATATAGAGAGTTATTAAACATGCCTAGAGTTGATTTTTAACCCAGCTGTGTCTCCCCCTGGAGACAGCTATGCTGGAGGGATATTAGGAGCATTACAACTGTTTCAGAAATACTAGGCTTCAAGGGGACTGCTTGGGGCTTCAGGCATCATCTACATAAAAAAGGGTCCACAGGTAATACATCCCACATACCATCTCATGACCCAAAATATGGCCTAATATCCCACTGCAGAGGTAAATCAAGACAGTGCTTTAGCAGTCTGTAGGAGTAGGGTATGCAAGAACAACTTCACCAGTGTCTTATGTGCCAGCAACATGTAATTCATCAATTCAAACACTTAAGGAAGCAGGTTGTGCCTCACATAAAGCCTGTCTGACTGGGGTCAGTACAGGAAGGGAAAACCTGTCTGTGATTCCAAGTTTGCACTAGGTTTAATACTGCACATGTGAGAATTACAGCAAACCAAGTACTTGAGAGAGTTTGACTTTAATAATAGCAAGACCTGTCCTTCCTAAAAAGCCACGGAAACATCTTCCTAGCCTGGGTAAGGCTTTAAAATTATAGGTCAGTTTTAGAACATTCAACCCTTGAATTCTATTCTAACTCCCTTGGAGGTACAACTGTCACATTCTCTATCCAAGCAGGAGAGAGAATCCAGTCATATTTAGACATGCAGAGCTACATTAACCATTGGGTGTAATAGCAGGCTAGACAAGAAAATGAATTCATCCCTAAACAGTGATGCCCTACAGCACTGCAATACCTCTGTTACCAGCTGGAGCATTTTGGAAGGTTTTATTTTATGGACTAAACAAAGCAACAGTGCTTTACTTTCAGCACATTATAGACAATTCCATTTAACAGAAATGTCTTATTCTGCCCTCAGCTTGGTCTTTAGAAAAATTATATGGGGTGTTCCCTGGACCCCATTCAAATTTTCCCAGGCAGCTCCATGGAGATTGAAAACACTGGTGGATAGATGTGATTAACTGATGTTTCTTCCTCTATTGTTAACAGTTTTTCACCATGAGGGGCTCTAACCATTCTTCTCTGGTTTTTTGGTACACGAAACTTTCAACAGCTTTATCATGCTTTCTGCTAACTTTCGGCACACAGTGTTCCTTAAGAACAAACAGTTCCTTTGGAATGGTGAGCAAACTGCTCTTCTTAAATAATCAGGACTCTGAAGTCTAAATCTTAGGTCAAGTGCTGGAGGTTCTAATTATGGGAAGACCAGAGAGCTTTAGAGAGCTTTATACTGTGGAACCAACAGTCCTGAAGAAGACTGTGCTCTCCTCTGTGCCATGTTATTCCACTGTGGCCTGCAAGGTCATCTCAGATAAACTACAGCTCTGTAGAGCAGCTGCCCCTATGGAAGGCCCTAACACAGACCTCCCCCACATGTATGACTCTACTAGAAATGTTCAGGTTATCCAGTCAGAGTTAGTAGGTTAGGAACATTTGAGATGTGGTGGGAGGTGGAGATGTAGAGGGCTGTAATATCTGCCTCTGGCTCCAGCTGACAGGAGCCTTTTTAGCTTACCAGGATGATTGTGGCTGAAATTCAGACCCCCAACTTGCAAAAACATCTCTATGTACATAAGCTGCTAGAAGTTGTCAAGCTTTCTCTAGTCTTTCAGACACTGATAAGTTTTGAAAATGGATATAGGATTGTAACTCTTTAAATTCATGCTATTCAGAATCTAATCACTTCTTTTTACATTAGAAGACCTTATGTGTCTATTTATTGGGGTTACAAGTTCTCAGAAAAGGCATTGAGTACAGTGTGCCTGCACACAGCTTGAAACAAGAGCTCAGAGCAAGGTGTGAACCATCTCATTCATCTTAATGGGGTGTTAACTTCAAAACCTCCTGCTGACCATTTAGATAGCAACATTTTTAACTATTTCATTGCTGATCGTGTAAGAAGAAACTTCCAGATCGTGTTTTTATCCTGTCCTGAACAGCTGTCTTGTGCCTTCTCAGGTGCCAAAAATCTCAGCTGCACAACGCAACATCATACATCTGCCAAAATTTCCATCTCCCTGCTGACAGTGGCAATGAGGATATTTCAATACACAATTCTTCAATTGTGAAAATTTAAAAAATGAAATAATCTCCAGTTATAGGTACTTAACAAAGGAATACTGCCCTAACTAGGTTTGGCAACTTAAGTGTAAATTAAAGCCCTCCCTTTTTATAATTGCTGTTGAAGCAAAAAAATCACAGAATTTCCAGAGTCAACACACTAAACCACCTTGCTGCAGAGTTTAGGATGGCAAATGTGTATGGGATCATAACTGTGAATATAACTTGGTTATAACTTTTTGTTCTGTTTGCTCGTTGACTATGAATCTGTGGGTTCAAATGTTGTCTTTATATAAAAAATATCACACCTTAGGCTTCTGTAAAATTGAAAAGTGCAATTAGTGCTTCACTTTGTATGCAAGATGTGCCCTAAAGTTAAAAAAAAAAAAAAAGAAAAAAAGAAAAAAAGACATTACACAAACATATTTTTAAGAAAAATATGTAAGTTCTGACTTACAATCAGCATCTGCAAAAATAATGTTTGGGCTTTTCCCACCCAGCTCCAGTGTAACTCTCTTCAAATTAGTCCTTCCAGCTGCTTCTTGGATCAGCTTCCCAACCTGAAAGGAAATGGAGACACATTTTAAAGGGAATGTAGTCATACAGTTCACTTTAACAGCCAAGGTTGGCTATCACTAGAGCAGAGCTTTAAATAATCCAGCAGGTTCTTAGTCCAAACAGATTCTCAGCAGCAGTGGACAGCTTTCAATTTTTTTCCCTAGAAATTGTGTACCCTTCACCCATTTGGGTCTATGCTAAAATGACCTGGGGCTTTCTTTTAGGGTGATTAGGGGGACTGAATTAAAAATTTGAAATTGCTGTAGCTAGAATTACTTCCATCCAAACTACTGACATGTTCACAAGGTTTAGTATGTCAAATTCTGACAAAATCATCAGTCTTCTCTGCAGGATTAACAGCACAGAGCAGAATACTGAGTAGGGCAAGAAGTTACAAAAGCACCATCCCAGACCTGACCTGCAGCTGCACCACAGATAATCTTAAATGGGTTGAGGAGGTCAAAAGCACCTCCAAAATGTCTTTGTAGATTGTGGGGTCAGCCGGAGCAGAATGCAGCCCTGTGACTGGAGCAGCCACAAATTGCAGATCTTGCCAATGAACATGAGAGTAGATTAAATGGAGTAGCAATCTGACAGCTACATATGTGACGTGTTTCCACATCAGTACAGTTGGAGAGGCAGCTGTGCTCCCTGGAAATTTTCCTCTCCCTGGATCAACAAATCCAAAATAGATCAGATTTTATACTGTTGCAGTGTAACTGTGCCCATTTTGCAGCTTAGGAAGTAATCACAGATAAATTTAGGCTCCTACATGGTAAAACACAGGATTCAGAGTAGCTATTGAATATTGAGAGCCTGAGAACCTTGATAAGTGCCTTCTTTTAACAGGGACATGTTTTAATGTCACAAAGAAAATTAGATGTGAAGTGAGATGAGAGTGAGTCCAGAGCAGGACTTTTTTCCTCCATGTAGTATTCTGGTCTCTCTGTTTTCTATTTCTGAGGTTATGTGAGTGACAGTCCCTGCAGTAAGGGGTTAATAGATGAGAAGCTGAACCTCTTAGAGAATTGAAGGCAGTCTGCTAGAGAAAGTTAAGTCAGCACTGGAGTAATCAGAAAGCAAATGAAACAGAAACCAGGGCCCCTACAGAAAAAAAAAAAAAAACCTGAAGCAAAACCCCCACAGGATAATGAAGGAATTGTCAACCACTTCATGTACCTTTGTGATTAACTGTTTATCTGGTGATACCACAGTTGAGTGTGGCTGAGGTTATTTCTTTTAAAAAAACAAGAAAAGAAAATGCTTTTTTCCTTTATCCCTGTATTGATGGAATGGAGTGTTGACATTATCATGAAATTCCTTGCATATCCCCTTAATTGGAGCTGATTTTATTGCTGTATTTGACTGACAGCCAGAAGTGAACCTGAAAAAGGACTCTCTCTGCCTTCCGCCCCCACCACATACATCGAGCACATCATCTGGAAATTCCAGCCTCTCAAACTGTGCTGAAAACACAGAGATCTCCACCAGTCTGTGTTTAGAGCCAGTGCCAGCCAATGCCATTCACACCCTCACTGCCTTGAACCTCCCTCTCTCAAAGAACAAGAACCACCTATTTCCCCTCAAAAATTCACAGGGAGCAGGACAAAGGAAGCCAGAGCAATGTGTCCAGCCCTCATCTCTCTGCCTGCCATTCTACTACTTTAATGTCAAAACTCTTTTCTACATGTAAGCAAAGCTTTTGAAAGGATTCTCTGCAAACAAGTGATTGGCAAATATGCAAGTTCAAACATAATATATATGGCAAATATTAAAGTCCACAGGGCTTGGAGACAATGGTGTTAATTTGGAAAAGTATGGTCCGGAGTATTTTTAATACAGGGAAGTTGTCAAGTTTCCAAGTGCAAACTTAATAGAAAGCTTCACTGTGTTCCTCCTGCTAGAAATCAGGATGGTGGGGCTCATGCTGCTCAGCACTTTTGTTCACTGTGCTCCTATTGTGCCCCGTGCACTTATATGTTGAGAGAAGTCTTAAGGAAGGCACCAGTGCTGTGGTTATTTAGGGACAAAGGCAGCCCTTTGTGACTGACCCTCTCTTTATGGAGAAAGACAGCATGAAAGGGATAAGTGATAGTGTTGCAATCTGTATGGGCTTTCAGTACATGCTTCCTGCAGTGTCTCTCAGCTCTACCCGTGAGCTCCCAACAGGCAGTTCAGCCTTGCGAGGGAAGGCTGGAAGAGAGGACTCCCCCACAGA